AAGATTTCGTGAAACTTGAAAGAGTTCAGAAAAGATTTGTGAGGATGTTGCCAGGGTTGGAGGGTTTGAGCTACAGGGAGAGGCTGAAGAGGTTGGGGCTATTTTCCCTGGAGCATCAGAGGCTGAGGGGTGATCTTACAGAGGTTTATAAAATCATGAGGGGCATGGTTAGTGTGAATAGTCAAGGTCTTTTTCCCAGGGAAGGGGAGTCCAAAACTTGAAGGCATGGGTTTAAGGTGAGAGGGGAAAGATTTAAAAGGGACAACATTTTCAAGCAGAAGGTGGTGTGTGTATGGAATGAGCTGTTAGTGAAGGTGGTGGAGTATGGTACAATTACAACATTTAAAAGGCATCTGGATGGGTATATGTATAGGAAGGGTTCACAGAGATAAGGGCCAAATGCTGGCAAATGGGACTAGATTAATTTAGGATCTGCTCAGCATGGACAAGTTGGACTCAAGGGTCTGTTTCTGTGCTGTACGTCTCTATGACTCTACTGTCAACTTTTGAGAGGAAAGTATGTGTTTCCGTTCTGAAGTGAGAAGTGTTGGTTTCTGATACCATGCAGCTGTTCTATATCATATGGATCACAGTATTTTCAGAGTAACAGCAGCATTCCTTTGATTTTGAGTGGGATTTCTATTTGTGCCATGCAGTTCTGTGAGACAATTATTATTCATTCTCTCTAGCCAGTTAAATACAGTAATGCTCCAGCTGCTGGCAAGTTTAAAATTAGTTGGATGACCATTAACAAATGGGATCTGTGTCACAGCTCATTCAGATGAGGCACCCATTACTCCTAAGAAAGGTTGATCCACAGCTTCCAAACATGGCATATGTGTTACAATGAAGTATGTCTTGGTATTCTGAGTTTTCTTCCAAAGATGTTTGCTATATGGTTTTAACCCCTACGTGCCACATTAACGTTACTAGTTCTGTGGTTCAATGGTTGTTTTTGACTCATACACCTTTCCTGGCAATGTCCTCCTTTCTTACAAAAGCTGTATTGGCTACATAGAGGTGGATATTATGTCTGTTTGTGTTTTTTTAACTCCACATCTGGAACAGTAACTTCAAGGATGTAAAAATATTTTGTGTATGTCTATCGTGTGATGTTTTGGTGTTTTTAATCCTTAGAAAGTTAGCAAACCCTGATGAACATGTTGAGCTCAGTTGGCTTCTGTTCCCATTATTCACTTGCGTTGTTTTTGAATTTCAGCAAATACCATCGTTTAGATTGCTCTTTCCAGCGTGAGTTTGTTTTGTAACATATCTGTACGACATGTGTTAGATTTTTTCTTATATTCATTCATGGGATGTGGGCATTGCTGGCTGGCCCGCATTTATTGCCCATCACTTGTTGCCCCTTGAGAAGGTAGCGATGAGCTGGCTTCTTGAATCACTGCGTCCATGTGCTGTAGGTTTACCCACAATACTGTTCCGGGGTGAATTCAAAGATTTTGACCCAGCAGCACTGAAAGAACAGCCTGTATTTCCAAGTCAGGATGGTGAGTGACTTCTAAGGTTTTATAGCTGGTGGTGCTTCCATGTATCTGCTACCCTTATCCTTCTGGATTGTGGTAATTTCGGGTTTGGAAAGTGCTGTCCAAGGAGACTTGGTGAATTCCTGCAGTGTATCTTTAAATAGTACACACTGCTGCAACTATATCGGTGGTGGAGGAAGTGGATGTTACTGGATGTGGTGCTAATTAAGTGGGCATGCTCTGACTTGGATGGTGTCAAGTTTCTTGAGTGTTGTTGAAGCCACACTGATCCACACAAGTGGGGAGTATTTCATCACCCTCCTGACTTGTGCCTTGAACATGATTGTTAGGCTTTGGGGAGTCAAGTGGTGATTTACGTAGGATTCCTAACCTCTGAGTCTAATCTAGTTCAGTTCCTGGTCATGGTAATCCCCCCAAGATGTTGATAGTGGGGGAATTTAGTAAAGTCACTGCCATTCAATGTGGAGGGCAATGTTTAAATTCTGTTTTGGTGAAGATGGTCATTGCCTCATACTTGTGTGGCACAAATGTTACTTGCCACTTGTCAGCCCAAACCTGTGTATTGTCCAGGTCATGCTTCATTTTGAACATGGACTGCTGCAGTATCTAAGGAGAATGATGATTCAAATGATGATTCGAATGATGATTCTATTCTGGTTATAACATTATAGCAATGTGTAAACATGATAAAGAAATTTACCAACAAAGTTCTTGAGGAAGCTTGAGAGGTGGCACTGTGGCTCAGTGGGTTAACACAGCTCCGGGGATCTGGTTCGATTCCACCCTTGGGTGACTGTCTGTGTGGAGTTTGCACATTCTCCCTGTGTCTGCATGGATTTCTTCTGGGTGCTCCGGTTTCCTCCCACAGTCCAAAGATGTGCAGGCTAGGTAGTTTGGCCGTATGAGATTACCCGTAGTGTCCAGGGATGTGCAGGCTGGATGGATCGACCATGGAAATGCAGGGTTATGGGAATAGGAAAAGGGGGTAGGTCTGGGTGGGAACTCCTCGGAGGGTCAGTGTGGACTTGATGGGCCGAATGGCCTGCTTCCACACTGTAGGGATTCTACGAGAAGCTGGTTTCTCCAGTTAAACCCTGCTCTCTGTTATATGATTGGTACCTGACATAAATTGTCAAATGTTCCTACCATATTATCAAAGGTACCTACCTCTTACATCCTACAATTTAAAAAGAAAATCAGCAAACGTGCGTACAGAATAAAGAAATGTAATGACTGGTTCTTCTGTGGGTTTCTTCAATAATCCTGAAGCAATTCCAAGTTGCATGAATTGTCTTTTGTGTATAGTCCAATTCAGTTCCCTCCCTGAAGGAATTGTGATTTTAAATACACTTGGAAGGATAATATTTTCTCCATTGTAATTTACTTTCAATTGTTGCTGTTTCTCTCATTTATATTATTTACTTGAAAGCTGTTGCACTAATTTTGTAATACTTTTGTAGGTGCAAATGGATCTCACTGTTGAGTTTTTTTTAAATTTGTACAATCACTTTAATTGAATTAAACATTGAATCTTCAACAAGTTTTCTACAGATTGCATTTTTTTAAATAACTAGATAAATGAAACGAATTGCTAAATATTTATTCTTAGCTTTTTTATTTTGCTGTTTGACTTTTATTTTTCTTGTCAGAAATTTCCCTTAATTTCTGTTACTTAATGTTGAAAAATCTCTAAATGCTTTATAACTAACCTTGTCTTTTTTTTGCTGAAGAATTGTTTTCGTGTGTTTAAATGTTGTTGAAGTGCTTTAAACTGAAGAAAAATGCATGTCACTTTTTCTCCTGTGATGGAGGGAAGACATGTTTTTTGTACCATATTCCCATCCTTATCCATGATTTTACACCCTTAAGCTAAGGGATGATTCCTGCCTTTTTGGCCTCTTCTCTGAGATTTTCACACCATTTTATATCAAAATGAAATTGCGCTGGTAACAATTGTTAAATAAATATTTTCACTTGAATAATAAGGATTTGATTTTGCCCTACAAAGCATTGTTTTTATTAAACTCTGCTTTCAATCTTTCCACACTCGATAGTCAGCTTATACTGCTGTTATCCCAATCTTCTCAAAGATTGTCCTTTCTCACAGCTTCAGCTGAGATTTTTAAGCAATTACAACAAGGTTGTTCACTTAATGAAGTGATTTAAGCCTTCTTTTAGCCTCATAGCCTCAAATTTCTCTGTGGTCTACTTAAGCTTTTTTTAAAGCATTTCTCACTAATTCTAGCTGTTTCGAGTATTTTAATGTGCTGCTGCCTTCACTGCTGGCTACTGCACTCACAGTATACTCATAAACTCATAAACATTACAGCACAGAAGGAGACCATTCAGCCCATATGTCTGCGCTGGTCAACAAAAATCTGACAACACTTATCCCATTTTCCAGCTTTTGGCCATAGCCCTCGACACTACGGCAATGCAAGTGAATATCTAAATGCTGCTGAGAGTTTGTGACTCAACCACCCTTTCAGGCAGTGAGTCCCATACCCCTACCATCCTTTGAGCGACAACAATGCTCCTTAACTTGCCTCTACCTCTTAACTTAAATTTGTGCCCCTTGGTTATTCACCCCTCTACTAATGGGTTACAATGTCTCCCTATCCACCCTATCTATGCCTCTAATAACCTATTCCCCTGTCTGAGGTCCTCTCTGAACCTTCGCTGCTCTGAGATAACAACCCCAGCCTATCAAATCTTTCCTTATAGCTTAAACCCTCCAAGCCATCCTGGTAAATCTCCTCTGCACCCTCTTTAGTAATCACATACTTCCCGTAATGTGATGATTAGAAGCACACACAGTACTCAGCTGAGGCCTAACCAGCATTTTATACAGTTCTGCTTTGCTAATAAAAGCAAGTATCTTACATTCCTTCACAGAAACATAGAAACATAGAAAATAGGTGCAGGAGTAGGCCATTCGGCCCTTCGAACCTGCACTACCATTCAATATAATCATTGTTGATCATGCAATCTCAGTATCCCATTCCTGCTTTGTCTCCATACCCCTTGATCCCTTTAGCTGCAAGGGCCACGTCCAACTCTCTCTTGAACATATCTAATGAACTGGCCCCAACAGCTTTGTGTGGGAGAGAATTCCACAGGTTCACAACTCTCTGAGTGAAGAAATTCTTCCTTATCTCAGTCCTGAATGGCTTATCCCTTATTCTTAGACTGTGACTCCCTATTTCTGGACTTCCCCAACATCGGGAACATTCTTCCTGCATCTAGCCTGCCCAGTCCCATTGGGACTTTATATGTTTCTATGAGATCCCCCTCTCATTCTTCTAAATTCCAGCAAGTGCAATCTTCTTAAGCACCTTCCCTACCTCTCCTGCTACCTTCAGGGATATGTGGATAATGCACATCGAGGTCACTCTGTTTTCGTTGTTAAAATTCAGCCCCCTAGTTTGTACAAAGTGACTTGAATAAGAAGTAAATGACTTTATCTGAGACCAGTGTTTACTTTCTGTCCAACAGCTGTACAGTCTCTGGATACTTTAAATGAACAGATCACATATTTCATCGCAAACAAGCCAGTGAAAGCAGACAGGCAGAATGATGACTTACTGCCTGAGGAGCAGGACACTCTGAAGAAATCATTGAGCTTAATGAGACACTTACTTATGGATGTGCAGGTACAGAGGATTTTCTCTTTCTTTTGTGTATTGCCCTTTTATCCCCAGCTGCTTCCGATTGTAAAAACAAAGCTGCAATTGAGGTTGGGAAAGATCGAGGGGATTTCAGCATGGTCCAGACCCAGCACAGCAACTCACACCAAAGCCCAACAGAGTGGTGGATATTGTCCAGTTTTGATCAGTTGCACCTCAAGTATTGCGTTTAGTCTATACCAGAGGGTTAGAATGCCAACAGCAATCGCCAATGTTAGAGGGGCGAGGTTATGAGGAGAGACTTGACTGAGAGGACCTGAAGAGGGTAAACAACACAGAACCAGTAAGTCTAGAAGATCACTTGATGCTGACCCACAGCAGTGAAACATAGTTGTTTGCTGGTACAAGACGCGAGTATCGTTTTCTCTTGCACTCATCAGGATGGAATCGCAAGAATACCAATTCTCAAAGGGAATAACAATTTATCCCGTGTGGGAAGAGGTTACTGATTGGTTAGGAGTGCATTCTGAGTGTTATACACATTGCCATGGAGAGTGCACAAGTGAAAAATCGATTGCCAAGTTTTTGTTAAACTTCAAACCAAGTAAACTGATTGGTCAAGGAATTGCCATGGGGAATGCATCGGGGAATAGCCGCTCCTTAAGTTATTGTTTGAGGACATGAATGTATGGGTGTGTTCTTTCTGTTTGCTGTTGTCAATGCTAGAGGATAAATCCAAATTCTAGTTTCATGGAGCTGCCAGTGTTGTTCTTATAACTTATTGATGTAGGGATTTGAAACTGATAGATCTAGCAGGGATAGTTGCTCATATATTAAGGGCTGTTATTTGTTATCTTGGAGTGTGAAAAATGTTCAGGACAGATGCAAAGGGCAATGAAAATGAGTGTACATCAATAAAATAAGAAGCTGAGACTGCATCATCCAGTGGCAGGAATGATTCCACATGATAAGGGTAATGAAAAGCATTGGTTGAGTGTTTTTTTTTAACTGACCTTCAGAGCGAATGCTTTTGAGAGTATACATGATCAATTTGGAATGAGAATTCAAGAGAAAAATACTGTTCTTCCCTCTCCAGCCATATAGGGATTGCAAGCATACAGGTATAGATTTATTACCACAAGCACGTCATTAAAATTCATCTGTCAATTTAGCTTGCTTGATGTTAGATGCTGTATGTAGAGATTAACCCTTCTATTACTCTTATTGGGTTTAGACAGTACAATGCCAGCTGATTTTAACAGTCAAGCACTTCACTTTGAATTTTAAGATTATATAATCAAGGCATTCACTGCACTGCAGTGCTGTCAGAGTACTGCATTGTCATTAATGTCATTTTTCAAATGAGACCTTGAATCAAACAATACCAAAGAACTGAGCACTTGTTTCAGGTGGATAGTGAAAGATCAACAGGAACTAAGCAAAGCTGAGAAGTGGAATCTTCTCCATGTTCTGGGCAACTTTTAACCCTCAGCTAACTCCATTGAAACTGGTCATCTCGTTCAAATAGAAATCGGATTCCATTTACTGCAAACCAATAATTGCTAGGTTTAAAAAATAATTCATTGAATCACTTTTGGGATATCCTAATGCTATGATGTGTACAGATGTAACATATTTCCTCTTACCAAATCAGGATGAATGTGACAAATGCTTTCCTTTCTGCTAAGTACTGATGTCAAGACACTGGTTTCTCCAAAACATGGTCCAGTTTTGTGAACATATAAAGGACATGGAAGGAACATTGTGACAAAGAAACACATTTGAAGCCGAGTTCACTTTATCTTTGTAAGCACTTTGATAGATACTTACTAACATGCTTCATCCATGAGGAAGCATTTATGATATTACAAAACTGTACCCCAGCAGATAAACAGGATGATTCAGACAAAAACAATTGCTTTGACATGCAGCATCTGTTGTTATGTGGCCAAACATTACAAACATCTTCTGCATGACAAGTTCCCACCAACAATTTATTTTTCAGTTTATTCTTTCACAGGACGTGGGTGTCCGCGATGAGACCAGCATTTGTTATCCATCCCTAAGTGCCCCCCTTGAACATTGTGGCTTGCTCAGCTCTTTCAGAGGGCAGTTAAGGGTCAACCACATTGCTATGGGTCTGGAGTCACATTGTAAGCCAGACTAGGTAAGGATGGTAGTTTTTATGGCATTCAATATTAGTTTGGTTACCCTTACTAAGACCAGCTTTCAGCTCCACATTTATTCACTGAAATTAAATGCTATCCGCTGCTATGGTAGGAATTGAACCCATATCCCATTGAGCATTAGCCTGGGCCACTGGATTATTGAATTGAATTAGCTGTATTGTCACTGTGCTCAAATGAGTGCAGTGAAAAGTTTACAAATCACTCCTTATGGCACCACCTGAGGTGCAAAGTAGCTAGGTACAGATTCTTCAGTACAGCTACTTAGGAAAAAGGAATTAGAAGAATAAAGAAATAAAATATTCAGAGCAACAGTCCTTCCAACCCAGTCCATGCCAGCGCCTAGCCTCCAGTCCGTGCTGGGCCTCGGTTCCAGGCTTCACCTCGAGGCTCTCAAGGCCGGGAGACCGTTCTGGAATCACCTCAAGGCACGCTGAGGCCATTCCGGGCCAAGAGACCACAATGTGCAGCTGAGAGACCGCCCTGTTGGAGTGCCGAGAGACCGCCATGCCAGGCCGAGAGACTGTCATGTTGGAGTGCCAAGATACTGCCATGCTGGGCTGAGAGACTGCCATGTTGGAGTGCTGAGATACTGCCATGCTGGGCTGAGAGACCGCCATGCCAGGCCGAGAGACTGCCATGTTGGAGGGCCGAGATACTGCCATTCTGGGCTGATAGACTGCCATGTTGGAGGGCTGAGATACTGCCATGCTGGGCCAGAGACTGCCATATTGGAGTGCTGAGAGACCGCCATGCTGGGCCGAGAGACTGCCATATTGGAGTGCCAAGAGACCGCCTTGCTGGGCCGAAAGACTGCCCTGCCAGGCCAAGAGATTGCCATGCCAGGCCGAGAGACCACCTTGCTGGGCCAAGACGACGCCTCGCCGGGTCTGCCTTGAGGCTGAGAGTTTGAATCTACACTGACGCTGGGAGTTCAGGACGTCATTGAGAAAAGAGAGGAGAAAGAAACACAAAAGAGAAATAAAGAAATGGACAGAGTAGACAAGCTCCGGCTGGAGTGTCCTACTCTGCCATCATCTTGGTCGACTGACCTTACCACTGCACCACCATCTCTCTCTTTAATGCTGAGATAAATATAAAGTTTATCTGTTTTTGTGATCCTTTTCATTAAAGGAGGAAGATGCCAACATGCCAGGACAGATTCTTGTTCAACTTTAAATAATGTCAAATCTTGCTTGGGTACTTCTTGTTTAAACTGACTCCAGCTGAGCTAACACAAGCTCAGAACAAGACCAGAACTGGGGTCAAGACTGAACTTGGGAGGAAGATTTTTTGGAAGCATCAGACGGTTATTGAGCTAAAGTCTATGCTTTGATTGTGGACATAGGAACTGACAACCAATGAATGATTCTTAACCTAATGAAAGAAAATCCCCATCGCTGTCCAGTCTGTCCAGCTTTGATAATCATCAGCTGACAGTTTCCTGTTGTTTTTGACTATACCAGCCAGTGCAGTGTGGGATGTTCCAGGTTCTCCCATCATCCTTGCTGAGTTGTGCGCATGACAGCGGCAGTAGAACCTTCCGCGTTTTTACGTTATGGAGTGAAAATATCAGCCAGGTTGCCTGTTTCTGATTGCTGTAGCATACCATGTGTGGAATATTATTGTTGCTAATCTCATGTGGCAGGCTGTGTGTGCCCATCATCAACCATATTCACATTCTATCGACACACCTATTTCACCACAGTTCTCCCCATCCCTCTGATGGTTAACCTGTGCCTTATTTGCGTGTTGTTTCTCACTTGCACGTCTCTGTGCACTTTGCTCCTTCTCTCCATCCTGGTGCCCCTTGCCTGCCCCATTGGGTTAAAAGGAACTCAGACAGAGTTCAGTCTGAGGCCTGGCAATCTACAATGGCTCCCTAGTCGATGCGTGGCACAGCTGATTCATGCCAGCAATGCCTTCCCTCGTATGTGATTCTGTGCCACCCTCAGGGGGGTGTAGGATTGCTGCTCAGGCTGATGTTTAACTGAGAGCAAAAAGCTCTCTGAACTCTGAGAGGCCTGATGTAGCTAAAACCGAAGCTGTGTTTTAATCATACTGTACGCTAAAGGCCTCGTTTTTCTGAGCGCACACAGGCAACAGGGGAAGCGTTGTCTGCTTGCAACTAACATTGGTGAGCCAGCTTCCTCTATCCTGTCACCAGTCTGCAGAAACTGAGTGAGCAGCTTTGTATAATACCCCTCCAAATCCCCATCTCCCCCATTATCTGCAATTTGCACCACTTAACTACAAAGCACATGCTCCAAGCTAGCAGCAGAAAAGTATTGGCACTGCAGCATCAGGGAGCAATTACTGCAAACTTTAAAGTGCTTGACTATTTCCTGGCTGCCTTGCAGAGCTAAATCCTGACCATGTGTTGTGGAATATATGAAAGGAGGATTCTGCTGTGTGACTGAAGGATAAGTGTTGGCTAAATTTCTGTTGAGGTGTTCTTGAAAGAAGTTGGGTGCCCTTCACTGATTAAGAGCAATTGTTGGATTCCAAAGGCTTTTTTCAAATGCACTATTTGTGCTTTTTACACACCCTTAGTTTTAGCATGAAGTCAACAGAGTTAACATCACTTTTCAGATTATGATCTCTTATCCCACCAGTGACGTACTGTTTACATATTTGAATATTAACCCTTTATTGTACAAGGCCCTTCTAGGGTTGCCAATTCTTTAGAGACTGAAGTATCCCAGGATGAAAGGAGAAAAATCATCAGGGTTTTACCTTCTTTTTCTATTGTCTTTCCTTCAAATCTTCAGAATTTGAAATTGTAAAACTCTTCCGGTTGGACAAAATCTGACAGTCAAAAATTGACCAAATGCCGAGACT